TAGGAGGCATATATTATGATATTTATAAATTTAAGAATGACTGACACTGTGTTGTCGGATACGTAGTGCTGTACATGTTTACCTTTCACTGAAAGGCCCAAACATCGCACTTTTTCGGTCGTAGCTTTTATCATCGGCTTTCCAAATAAATGAAACTGACCACACTGGACGTTTGCTTTAGGTCATGTCATTATCAACTACGTAAACTTTCGTTAGGAGATATATATTTTCAGTATAGACTTGATTTTCAGGTAAAAACTTACTTGACTAAATTGTCCCTTAAAGTTTTCGTTAATTACCTATTAGGAGGTATACCGGTCTAAAATCATGTAATGTGAAACTTATTTTTCAAGCATATATTTGTAATAAAAATGCATATCTTGTCGATTGTATGGTGCTGTGACAGTACGGGGTACGGGGTACGGGGTACAGGGTACAGCGAAGACTGAAACAATTCATTGATTCGTTCAGCTTCGCAAGACTTTGTTGTGTATTGTAGCAAAACAATTTGTTTGCTTGCATAAAGAAATACACTTTCATTTCGGGTATTATCAATCAAAGTTTAAATAAATTCGATTTGTGAGTTCACCGACTCTTTTTTTAAACAACAGAAACGATGTTATCCACTGTGCAGTGATACAAAAACGTACAACAGCTATTTTTTTTATATATATATTTGAACTGTATTTCCTATTTACATCGTAAAGCTACATGTATTGTGAAACTAACTTTAAAGTCAGATATGTGTATCAAGATACATATCGTATCGAAAGTATTGTTCTGTGAAAATACAGTTTACGGGGTACAGGGTACGGGGTACATGGTACGGGGTACAGGGGTACAGGGTACAGGGTACAGGGTAGACTGAAACAATTCATTAAATCGTTCAGCTTCGCAAGACTTTGTTGTGTATTGTAGCAAAACAATTTGTTTGCTTGCATAAGGAAATACACTTTCATTTCGGGGATTACCAATCAAAGTTTAAATAAATTCGATTTGTGAGTTCACCGATTCTTTTTTTAAACACCAGAAACAATGTTGTGATACAAAAACGTACAACAGCTATTTTTTTGAAATATATATTTGAACTGTATTTCCTATTTACATCGTAAAGCTACATGTATTGTGAAACTAACTTTAAAGTCAGATATGTGTATCAAGATACATATCGTATCGAATGTATTGTGCTGTGAAAATACAGTTTACGGGGTACAGGGTACAGGGTACTAGAATCAGGTAAATGTACATGTTTTTAGCATGGTTTGCATATAGTTTTAGATAAAGAATAAGTTATCTGTCCAAATTTGTTAACATATAATGTTATACAGTGTTTTATAGGCACCTTAACACTCCCGGTGTATTTCTGTATATGTTCCGGGACATTTTAGACATGGATGCTCATTCTGTTGACCCGTTATACCATTAATGAGTCCCGAGTCAGGATATTATTAAATAGACTTGTTTTCTGCCTCGCTTACGTTTTTGAAATAAATAATGTCTTACTTCATATTGCTCTTCTATAATTCAGATAGTAAAATAATTCTTTCCCGTTTTATTTTATCTTATATATACTCTGACACTCTTAATTAAGAAGTCATACATAGCACGTAATAGATTAATGATATATCAATTAAACCTAGTCTGAACAAGAATGATACAATTAGGTAATGTTTTTAGATTAGATTATTTTATTAACCTCGAGTCAACTGACTCATGGGTATAATACATATATTACAAGATAAGTACAACATGTTATGCAATACAATACAGAATAACATATGGACATATGTTAAGAGGAGAGTGACTCTTTACGTACACTTGTTGCCAAATGTAAATATTTTCCAAGATTAAAAAGTTCCTTTACATTATTGGTACTTAATAGTTGAGTTAGTTTAAACACACTCGGACTTAAACGATAATATTTCTTTATGTACTTTAACCTTAGATTTTCATAAAATGGACATTTGAGAATAAAATGAAACTCATCTTCAATGTCGCCTAAATTACATCTAGTACACAGTCGATTATGACGGTTTATATTATTCCGCCTCCCGACCTCAATATTTAAACTGTGAGAGGACAGTCTATAGCGAGTAATTTGACGCTTGAATTTTGATTGGATTGGCTTACGCAAATAAAACTGTAAGTCGACATTGTCTATCAGGTGTTGATATAAATACCCCTTTGAAGAATTTGAAATATTTGTTAACATACTTTGTCGTGAAACATCGAGCAATCTTTGTTCTATAATCTTTGCCGCAATATTAATAGGTAAGTTTTCCTCAAAGATATACTCCAAACCCATACTAGCTAATTCTTGCCTAATATTAATTAACCAGTCATCATTACCACTTATACGCTCGTCATAGCAAGCTTTTAATATACAGTTATCGCTACATTTCATTTTTAACCAGTATTTAAAAATCCTCAGTTTCCTTTGGACTATATGGGGGAATCTACCAAGTTCACAATAAACCAGATCATTATTAGTGCATTGTCTGACTCCTAGAATTTTTTTACAAAAATTTAAATGAACTTTATTTACATCAGGTGCTTTGTGAAATCCCCAGATTTCTGAGGCATAGCACAAAATACTGTTTACATAAGAGTCAAAAATAGTACACTGAGTTTCAATATTAAAACAATAATTGCGTAACGAAGATGCTAAGGCGAACAGTGCCTTTCTTCCTTGAACAGCCACATGCTTCTGTGTTTTAAGAAATTTTCCATTATAATGAAAAAGCATACCTAGATATTTGAATTCATCCAAGATATTAATGTTTGTATCGTTATAAGACCACGTTTCATTATTTCGTAAGTTACCACCATTTCTAAAAACAACTATTTTGGTTTTAGATATGTTGACTTCCAGATCCCATGTGTTACAATAATCCTGTAGGGAGTCCAGCATAGATTGGAGACCTTCTGGTGTTTCTGATAGCAGCAAAATCGGTTTATAAGTTGCAGTTCTACACTTGGACAATTGTCTTTTATGAAATTGATCTCAAAATCATTAACATATAAGGAAAATAAAACTGGTGACAGTACTTCGCCCTGTAAAAGTCCAATCTTGTTGCAAAAACTATCACTTAGGACTCCATTATACTTTACACATGATTTAACATTATGATATAGGTCAATCAAAATTTGAAGGAATTTACCTCTGATACCACAATTGATCATTTTTCACCATAACTTGCTTCTATTAACAAAATCAAAAGCTTTTTTAAAGTCTACAAAACAGCAGTACAAACGCTTTTTCTTTTTTAGGGACTTATTTATAAGGGTTGTTAAAACAAAAATGGCGTCAGTGGTTGACATTCCAGGTCTGAAACCAAACTGTGCGTCAGTTAGAATACCATATTTTTTTTTCCCAATTTAATATTCTGGTATTTAAAACGCCCGTAAAAACTTTTCCAAAACAACTAACTAACGAAATGCCACGATAATTACTGGTGTCATTTAAGTTGCCCTTTTTGTGAATTGGAACAATACAAGCTTTGCACCATGCTTCTGGGAAATGCCCAGACTTAAAAATCACATTGAACAATTTTTCCATACAAGGCAACAAAATATCTTTTCCTTTAATACAAATTTCATTGATTATTAAGTCCTCACTGCAACTTTTGTTGTTTTTTAGATTGTTTATGACTTTTAATATTGCATCTATATCAGATCTTACGTTCCTATAAAAGAGATGAAACATTCGGATAAAAACTAGCGAAGAAACAGACGAGGGGGTGGAGTTAAGAAAATGAACAAGAAACTTATTATATCTATGGATTCAAGTTAATGTTTATATCTTAACTCATGGGAGAATGGAAGACAAGTTATTATTATTATTTTTTTTACATTTATCACCCTTTCCATAACTTGGATTTAGTTGGTAACAAGGCAACCGTCTATAACATTTTGGTTTATCATTAACTATAATACTTCCCTTATGTAGTCGCTTTACATATTGCGATATTTATAGAGTTTTAGTGTATTGCTGATTTCACAAATAGCACAGAACAAGTAAAGTATGTGCTGAGGAGGTTAAGTAGAAACAAGCTTCCTTCTTTTTCCCCGTTTCTAGTGAGTTTGTTTCAGTTGTTGTAACGTTTGTTTGTACATGTAGTCTTAAAACTTGAAAGCAATGCATTAAGAAAACTGCAGAACATAATCGGGTACTTTTGTATCTGAATGTCGGATAGTATGGAAGCTTCGACGAACTTGTGATGTACTTTTGACGTACGATATATCAGATGATAATACCATCTGTGCCCTAATTGGTATAATCGACTGTTATACTTGGTCTCGGCACAATGTCCGTACGGAAAGCTTAAACTTATTTTCGTGACACGCGCTAAACATTTTGGACGGTTTAAAAAGTAAACATTAAACTTGGAAAAGTGACAGCCCAGAATAAAATAAAAGTTAAAGTTTTACGCTTAAAAACGTCTTTTTGCACTTGAGCCAGGATGTGAGCTTGAGTAATGAGTCCTAAAACGGTCGTGTTACGTGGTCACGCAGTAATACGGAAGCTGCCATCGTGTATTTATGAGGTGCTGCTTCATACGTTAAGGGCTCTTCAAGGAAAAACATGGATCTAATGTATTTAAATGATTTACTTAATCTTATTGTGGAATCTTTTTTATTCATTGCTACAATTCGTCGGAAAGAGTATGACTCCATTGAGAACTTGCTTCAACGCTCTGAATAAGAATATTCAAATTGCCTGTAAGATGTGTAAGAGGGTGTCAGCTTTTATCTTAGTGACAAACAGGTCCAGTTTCAGAGTCCACACGGGTCGCCGTTTACTTTATACAATTAGAGTGTTTAATTAATGTTATATCCGCTTACACAGATATTTACATGTAGCAAGCACCTTAGGCCTAATAACGACCAGGATATGTCCCTGGGACCAAGAATTGTTCGTTCTTTTTCCTTTTTTGATTTAGTAATCACAATTACGGCTGCAGTCATTCATTTCCCCGCAGACTGTCTTTACCCCGCAGACCGTCTACACCAGTTATAGTGCAGAGTAGAAGAGTAATGCATTACACAAAGCGAGAGTGTATTTGTTAGAGCTGGTGTAACCTGTGGTGTTGACTATGGTGAAACTTGTCAGTAAACAACGAAAGGCAATGCTGTTGTTACATACTATGCTATTTGCCTGTTTGGCTCTTCGCACTGCAAGTAGCGCCGGACCTCTTACCCGGTTATTCCGTCTAGTGAACAAACCACCGGTAAGTACTGAATACTGGTTTCATTTTCTACGTGTGTTATCCTAGAAAGAAATTCCATTTCGATTAAGATATCCTTAAGTAAGGGAAGGAGTTAGGATGGCAATTACCTCTCGCGTGCAGTTTTGATTGAACAATAAAAACAGGTTTAGTCCCTGATTCTAAACAACAAATACATTAGTATTTTGACATATTAACAAATCATTTTGCGGTAAGTCACCATACTATAATCTAAAGGAATTTTGAATAAAAAATAATTCCATTCGAACAAAATATTTAACATCATTTATCATATTCAAATTGTCCATGTACTCGTGCTTTTGCTTATCTGAAACAAAATATGGTTATCGGACAAACCCATTTAAACAATAAACATTTTTGCTGTTCTATATTTGCTTTTCCCCCTGTTTGGTGAATATTATATGAAATAAGTTTTTTTTACCTCATAAGTTTTGACACATTTAATCTTAGATCTTAACTTAGGGTACGAACCTTTGATCATTTGCTTGTATTGACTATTAAATGTAAGTAGCAGAAATATGCAGATCTCAAAATTTGCACTAAAAATTTAACTTAAAATCCGCTCATCTGGCCAAGTTTGAAAGTTCATGAATATTTGAGTATGAAATCAGTAGTTGGCAGGAATGACATACATATACACGGATAAATGCAGATACCATATCTTAATCAAGTACTCTGAAAAACTGTTTCATGTGCACTAGGTTAACTTGTAGCGTTTAGTTTCTTAAAAAGGTTAAGACAAATTTATATCTTCATAATTTTAACCGTATTGATATTTATATTTTTTTTTACTACCCGAGTTTTCGATTTGAGGACCAGCTATTACTTAAATTTGACCTAGATTTACATGGCTGGTTTCGTCGATGAAGCAAAAGACGCTTACACTCCCGGAACACCTGGTCAGTTTTCAAGAGTTTTCATGAAAATCTTTCCTTCGTTTATATGTTGCCTTTGTTTTTTCGATTTTGAGTTCGAGTTATAGTTTTGTTTACACTTGGGTGTTCTCTTGATTTCCCCCCCCCCCCCCCCCCCCCCCCCCCCCCCCTCCCCCCCCCACATATATGACTGGTGTAACGTTCTTGGCGAATCTTTATTTTGATTTTAAGGGGATAAAACTCCGTTTCCGTCAAGTAAGCTTTTTTGCTATTTATTTGCATTGTTAAAATAAAGATATTCATCAATGCGATCATTACATATTTCAATGACTGATGTATGCTGTTAGTGTACCAACACACGCTGTTTAGAGGAGACTTACACAGATAAAGGGCTAGACTAATGTTTTTTTTTATACAAACAAACAATGGTAATTTACTGCTTTACAACGGGTATACAGTTGAGAACCAGCACAATGCACTAAAACGTACCAGGAGTACATCATCCGGTGCGCGCTTTTATAAATGTGCGATTTTGAACAATTCGTTCATTGGTACATGTTGCGTCGGATTTTTTTCTGTAAAATATATGATGGAGACAGCTTTTAAGTTGATCTTACTTTTATTGAGTGACGTCGAAAAGTGACGTGAAACACAGATTTGGTTAGATCAAAGCTGTTGTCTCCAGACACAGGCATGCGCACAGGTACGCACTTACAATAGGTATCTAATTAATCTCCGACATGTAGAACTCGCAATTAATGGTAATTATTACATAATTGTCACTCACCACACAAAGGGTGTAAATCACGGCTAGGAAATATTCCCAAATAAATCTGTCGTGTCAATACGATAACCTGCTGGACCGCGTCCCTGACACCTCGCATCTTAAAAACTATTTTTGACATGAAGGGAAAATCGATTGTTGTTTTCTTATGTATTTTAGACTTTCGTAATCAGAATAATTACAACCCAAATGGATGTTAATTATACGAAACTGTATTGAACAAAATGTGCTTTTTTAAAGGAATAAAGTTTGTTTCAAATGATTTCTAGACATTACCTTAAAAAATAAAAGTGTATGTATAAAATGTACCAATTCATGATAAAACACAGATTTTCATCATGAAACATGAACTATGAAACACCCGGCATGCTCTTGTGCAAATATGGTTCACTAGGCATTTTACTTGTGATCGGTATATTTTGCATTTTGTTCAATTGTACAATGCATGATAAATAATAAATGATGACTGTAAACGGTTAAGAATGTGTAAGACCCATAGGTACTAGAGCAGAGATGATAAAACATTTTGATGAGTATTTGATAGTATTGGAAACAAGCTGTAGCGGTGTCGATCACTGCTTAGAGAGTTGACCGATCATATGACTGTTTTCAAAATACCATTGGACTTTACTTGTTTGTAAATTGTCTCGGCCTATGGCTTCTTTTTGTGCGTTACATCTGACATTTTCACATCTCGGCAAGTGAAATGCCCCGGGTGGTGACGACAAACTGTCTAAGTTACATATGATCTTGGCTACGTTTATCTGTATGCGTGAACAAAACCACGTCAGATGTGTGTCTTACTCTTTGTAATTAATATTCATGGCGACCTCATTACTGCTTATACATACGTAGGGATTCGAATATGTTTCTTCAAAAGGTTAACGTTAGAGAATAATAATAGATATTTTATTTAAATTCGATAACACATTGAGTCAAGGACTCATCCCACAATGGGTGTGGTCGACATAAAATATATAATATTTACAACATGAGTGAAAAATATGATACATAACACAAATACACACAGATAAACATTAGATTAAGGTAGTCGCCTAACACAGATAACATTATAGTATCACAGGTTAGAAAGTCAAATATAAAATATATTATGTGAAAATGTTTTCTGGAGATGACTGTGTATTGGTCGGTGTTTCTAAATATTCAAATGTAGGTTCCCTGACTGATCGGTGTTTTCCTACCTTGGAGTGAGTATATCCTTCTTGAAGAAAGGAGATATATATATGTGTGAACATAAAACGAATTTGTCACGCAGTATCTAGCATTCTTCAATTTCATCTTATACAATTTAAGATGGAAAAACTGTAAAGTATCGATCTATATTTATATAGGACTCAACAAGTGATGACATACCTGCGAGTGGACGTTGGACGACGGAACCGACTGCTAAACCTGAGGGACCACAGATGAGTAAGACAGAAGTTACTGATTATATCATGGTGTTAAAGAAAAGGTTCGAAGACTTAGGAATATCGTTAGATAATTATTTCACCGATGAAGTGACGAAAGGAGAGACGAATGGAGATGACTGTCTGACAAATGAACCCGAAAAGATTTCGAAACCTGAAACAAACGTTCCAGCCATTCTGGCACGACTCAAGCAGTTCATATCTGTCGACAGTCCGTCTAAAAGTCCAACGAGCGGAAGTAAGATTGCTCGAATCTACACACCAGTTTGTATAACAGAAACGTATTGGCATTCTAAGCCCATCCAAAATTGGGAGAGTAAAATGTTATGTGTAATATTATTTTTTCTGTAGATTACACTGGTCTGGTTTGAAAATAATTTAAAACCCCAGCCTTTTAAAAGTTAAACATCTATCAAAAATATGCAGTTTTTTTATGCTTGTTCTGTTTCTTTTTTTTAACTACAGACTGGTTAATGAAATATGTAGATTCAAAGATTCTTATACAATTATATACATTTATACAACGTATATCATAGTTTTTTAGATAGGAAAGTAAAGATTAATTCCTGTTTCAATTTTGATCCTATGTGTGGCTTTGCTGATCGGTGGAAGAAAATGTAATTACGCGTAAGGAACATTTGTCATCATATGCACGATAAATTTGACTTGTGTCTATTGCAGATATTCAGCCAGCCAATCACCAGCCAGCTATTCATTCAGCCCGTAATCAGGCAGATCCGGGTTATCTGTCAGGCGTTGACGTATTAAAATTAGAGGTATTGCAGTTTTTCGAGAACAACCCGTCAGTAGAGGAAATGTTCAAGGAAGACGGTAAGGCTAATTAGGGCCCCGTATCGGAGACAGACAGACAGACAGACAGACAGACAGACTCTGTCTGTCTAGTTCACAAAAATACACATTGAGGTAAAAAGTCAAGGTCAAAGGTCAAGGTCATTAGGTTCAAAGGTCAAGGTCAAATTTTACATCTTTTCACTGATGAACATTTTGTTATGACATTATGAAGCAAAGTTGAGCAGAATTAAACAAGGAGTCAACTGACCAAAGGCCAAGGTCATCGGGCCAGGGGTCAAGGTCAAATTTTGTAGCTTTTCACTGGTGAACATTTCGCTATGACATTATGGAGCAAAGTTGTTCGAAATTAAACAAAGAGACACACCGAGGTAAAAAGTCGAGGTCAAAGGTCAAGGTCATTAGGTTCAAGGGTCAAGGTCAAATTTTACATCTTTTCACTGATGAACATTTTGTTATGACATTATGAAGCAAAGTTGATCAGAATTAAACAAGGGGTCAACTGATCAAAGGTGAAGGTCATTGGGTCAAAGGTCAACGTTAAATTTTGTATCTGTTCACAAGTGAACATTTCGCTATGACACTTTGAAGCAATGTAACTCAGATTAAACAAGGAGTCAATTGACCAAAGGTCAAGGTCATTAGGTTCAAGGGTCAAGGTCAAATTTTACATCTTTTCACTGATGAACATTTTGTTATGATATTAAGGAGCAAAGTTGGTCGGAATTAAAGAATAAGTCAACTGACCAAAGATCAGGGTCACTGGGTTAATGGTGAAGGTCATTTGGGTCCAAAGGTCAAAGACAAAGTGGATCTCTGACTTTGACCCTGGCTCTTGATGGAGGAGGTATATAAGGTGAAATAAAACAAATCAAAGCTAACAAATGAGCATTGCACCGGTATTTACATTTCTGTTAGCCCAGCCAATATGGAGGTGGAAGGAAACAAGACTCCCATCATAGTACATGTAAAATGTATATTTTGCTTCCTTGCGATTCTTTTTGAAGTCCACATATCAAACATCAAGCTCAGCTATATGGGCAGATTGCTTCTTGATGATTATGGGGGATATATTGCCACAAGACGGAGCCCTTACTGACCTGTCAGTGTTCTAGTTTAAATAAAAAATACCCTTATAACAGTTTGGAGTTTAAAGTGCAGTTTTGTTCTCATTCATTAAGGGAAAGATTGAATATGTATAGAGTTCGTAAAACGCCTGCCACCGTAAACTCCTTTCAGAGAGCGTTCGAAGCTTGCATTCCTTACAATGAATCGTTTACGATTGTCCCATAAGGCTGGTTCCATAGCTACTGGTGTGTGATAGAGTAATTGTTATGATCGTTTCGTCATGTTCCCAGGCCAGACGACTGAAAGTAACAGGCATACCAACGTTCTCGCTACTCCTCTACCAGACATCGTGAAGTCGGGCTTGACCGGTAATACCGGATATGAGATACTTGCTGCCCACCCGGACGAACCAATGTCAGATTTCCCTTACTTGGACGCTCCCATTCCATACAGGAACAGACGGTATAGACCATCAAGGCGACGTAACAACAGATCAAGGTCAAGGACGTCTTTTGTTCATAAGACAAGATCGAAAATGATTTACAAGGTCAGATCTTCCGACAGACCCCGGCGACGACAGAAGCCATCACCTAGGTATTCGGCACGTACTTCCGGCAGACGAATGACGAGGAAGAAAATGGCGAGTAAGTAGCCGTTTTAACAGTCACGTGTTATGATACGTTTGTTTGATTTAAAGATTTACGTTAAATTTTGTTAGGGTTCTGAATACTTACACAGGTCTGATTATTGGAAATGGAATATTTTGAAAGAAAGTTCATGTTCTTTATATATGTGGTCTTCTTTTGAAAGCCAAAGCTGTTCAGGAGTATCGTTGAGTTGTTAAAACCATTAAATACTTGTAACATTTGAACCATACTAAATACGTGTGAATATGTTAATTGATAACATAACTTGCTGTAATCACTTCATTGTTTTGCATAATATATACATATGTTCCTCAACTATAGGAAAGAATAGGAGAAGAAAGGACAGAAATAACAAGATTGATGAAAAATCAAGGAGGAAAGAAACAATTGTGAAAAAGCAATGTGTCCCCAAGAAGACAATCACTGATAACAAGGACAGCTCGAATAGAGATAGCGGCAATGAAGATATTAACAACGGTTACACTAATAAGGTTACGACCGACAGTAGCAGCAGCAGGGAGAGTAGTACAACATCACAAAGTGTTGGTAGTGAGAGTAATGATCGCGAAAACAGTCGTATTGAGGATAGTAGTAGTGACAGTGACAGACATGGAAACAGTCGTAATGAAAGTAGTGAAAGTAGTCGTAGTGAAAGTGACAATAGCGAAAACAGTCATATTGAGAGTAACCGTGAAAGCAGAAGCGACGAAAACAATCGTACCAAAAGTAAAAGTAATAGTGAAATAGGTAGTAGTGAAAACAGTGGGGTTGAAAATAGCCGTAGTGCTGACAGTAGCAGTAATGAAAAGAGTCGTGAAGAAAGTAAGCGTAATAGTAACAGTCGTATTGAAAGAAGTAGCGATAGTGAAAGAAGCAATACTGAAAGTGACAATGGTGAAAACAGTCGTGTTGAAAGTAAAAGTGAAAGTAGAAGTAATAGTGAAAGTAGAAGTAATAGTGAAAATAGAAGTAATAGTGAAAATAGAAGTAGCGAAAACAGTGAAAGTGACAATAGTGAAAACAGTAGTGTCGAAAGCAATAGTAATAGTGAAAGTATTACAAGTAGTCAAAGTAGTAGCAGTGAAAACAGTCGCATTGGACAAAGTGGAAATAGTGACAGTAATACAGGTAGTGAAAGCAGAAGTAGTGAAAATAGCCGTAATAGTGAAAGTAGCAGAAGTGAAAGTAGCTATAGTGAAAACAGTCGCGTAGAAAGTAGCCGTAATAGTGAAAGTTGTAGTGAAAGTGGTAGTGGAAGTGGTAGTGAAAGTGATAGTGAAAGTGATAGTGATAGTGATAGTGAAAGTGATAGTGAAAGTGGTAGTGAAAGTGGTAGTGAAAGTGGTAGTGAAAGTGGTAGTGAAAGTGATAGTGAAAGTGGTAGTGAAAGTGGTAGTGTAAGTGATAGTGAAAGTGGTAGAGAAAGTGGTAGTGAAAGTGGTAGCAGTGAATTTAGTAGAATCGGAAGTAGAAGTAACAGTGAACGTAGTAGCAGTGAAAACAGTCGCATTGGACAAAGTGGTAATAGTGACAGTTATACAGGTAGTGAAAGCAGAAGTAGTGAAAATAGTCAAAGCGAAAGTGACAGTAACAGTGAAAGTAGCAATAGTGAAAACAGTAGAGACGGTTATAGTAATAGCGTCGATAGTAACACTGATAGTGACAAAAGCGACAACAGTATAGAAACTGATAGCAATAGCGAAGATACTAGTAGTGAAAGTGGCGATAGCAAAGACAGTGGTAGTGACGGTAACAGTGATAGTGACAGCAGTACAAGGAATGAAAGTATAAATAGTGAAAACAGTCGAATGAAAAGTAATAGTAAAAGTGACAACAGTGACAACAGTCGTACTGAAAGTAGTAGTGACAGCGGTAGTAACCACAGCAACGAAGACGACGGCGATAAGTACGGTCGTCTAAGTACACGTTATCGATACCTTGACAAATATTCCAAATATCGCCAGAAATATCTTAAATACAAATCGAAAAATCTTGAACGTCTACGAAAGAAAAATCGAAGCAATAATGGATTAGATATATCAGGTAATAATGACGATAGACAGACGCGTAGAAGAAGAAACGACGACCACGACATCAGAGAATGGCGGGCCTCTATGATGAGTAGTAGTAGAAAGGCCAGGAGCAAGGGTGGTGACGACGGACATGTTCATGTAAGCAATAGCATATCAAAAACCGGTAAAGAGAATCCTAAAGATATCATTAATTTATACGACTCTTCAGACGAAAACGATATGGGAATCGACAACCATCTATTCCATACCGATTACGATGACTTTGATGAAAATTATGATGAAAGTAGTGATGATAATGAGAGCAGCGAAGAAGATGACAAGAACGATGTTGACGTAAGTAACGAATCCGATTCAAGAGAGGAGTCCTCCTCTAGAATTATTGGGAATGGTAGTGTGGGAGAAGAGGATGATGACACTGACGATAACGATTCAAGTAAGAGTACAGATGAGGAGCCGGATAACGGTGTCCGGAGAAAGCGACAATGAATCCCTTCCACTCCGTCGTCCCTGACATAACATACTGGTGTGTGTGTATTTGTAACGATATGGAGTGGAGTAACCATTATTATCGGTTATTAATGTCTTATGTATGGTATGATGATCGTGTTTTCATCCATGGTTCCGATTGCGTAAAATGATGATACATACTAATACGTCTACCTGTAATATCATGATTATTTTGTACTGGGAAGATAAAAATATTGTACATGAAATAAATGAATAAATATTGATTAATAAAATATCAGTCCTAAAAGCTCTATTTTTAAAACTGCATATGGAATGTTCTTGAAATAACCAACAAGTAATTATCTTCGTAATTGAAAACGTCAAGGAAGTACTCAATACGCTTTGTTTCATTGATTTTAATTAAGTAAAGACTGTGTTAACTTGGCTCATGTTTCATGAAGGGACGATTTGTTGTTAAGAAACGACGTCGAGAATTATTCAAAATACTGACGAATTCTACGAGATATCACCCATACAGAAATTTAGTCAATTATGTTTTCCAATTCTACAAAGTATCTATTTCCATTCAGACTTTCACAATCTTCATTGCAAAATGTATCTCATGGACGATTTAACCCGCCCAGAAGTGCCGACAGATTTATGAAAACGTCATTGATAATTTGAAAAATCCATCTCAAAGTGAGATAATTGGAAACGTGTAAAAATGTAATCTGTCTTACAGACAGCAGTGGCGGATCCAGAGACCTATCTGGGGGTGGAGTTCCAAATTTCCAGGGGGGGTCCAAGTGGGGAAAATTGAGGAAACTGGTGAAAATACATAATTTTTAAAGAAAATTCTCTTGGTAGGGGGGTTTCCTGAAGCCCCAAGAACCCACTGGACAGAAACGTGCTTTAGATTCTTTAAGAAATGCTACCTTTATTTGTATCACAGAGGCCAATAAAGGCAGTCCAGTAGTATATATGAATAGAGATTTCTATTGTGAATGTCTACACACCATGCTTACACGAAGTGCTGATTGGTATCATACTATGATAGTACGGCAGGTGGAGATTCGATGATGAAAAGTGTATATTAACGTGCTTATACGGACACCCGGAGCATGTCTACATGGCAAGGATATATCGTGTCAATTCTATACACATAACTGGCTATTATCAGTAAAAATATGATACATTCTGCGACCGTTTCTGTTTATTCCTACCATTGTCTGTATTTAGGTTTAGGTCTATTCTTTTAATTTCTACATTAGAAAGTATTTTAGAAATTATTTAGTAACAAAATGCAATTTCTCTGCGAAACCATTGTGTAACTGTTTGATTACCTTCGGATAACAGCCAAACAACCCCTCGCAATGGAATCGTCCCGCGCTCACATCTATGTGGATATAGTGAAGCCTAGTTTCAGTAAGGTGATATATACGTCTATGACTGAAGGTGAAACCGATATAAGTACATTATGTATGTCTATGACTGAAGGTGAAACCGATATAAGTACATATATATATGTCTATGACTGAAGGTGAAACCGATATAAGTACATATATATGTCTATGACTGAAGGTGAAACCGATATAAGTACATTATGTATGTCTATGACTGAAGGTGAAACCGATATAAGTACATATATATGTCTATGACTGAAGGTGAAACCGATATAAGTACATATATATGTCTATGACTGAAGGTGAAACCGATATAAGTACATATATATGCAGGCCTGCTTGTGGTTCATCGATTCCGTAGAGCTGGAGCTTTCTATTTAAACGTGTACGTACAGTATAACAAAAACTGTAACAGTGGTTTGCAAAGCATGTAGTTATATTTTATCTGTTGATTGATCACATCAAACCTTAAACTGTATTGGATCCCACAATCTGTAAGTTTACGTCACTGTAGGATATCACCAAACGAGCTGATATATGTATTCTTGAATAAAAAAAGGGAATAGTCACCTTAAAACAAGTGTAAAGGAAAACATGAAAACTAAAGTGACAGAAATAATCGGCAATAGTGTGTCACATTACGCTCCACTAGACAATTAAAATATATAAAAATACATGTACCATCATAATCGAATCATAACGATTCGTTCTTTTGTAATTTTCACAATCAATGCAGCTTTTTGATTGGCCACTTAACTGTGCAAAAAACACTACCATAACACCGTAATGTGCACCGGCACAAAGTACTCAACGCAAAAAGCGATTGAAACTCTATTGCTTACAAATTTATCAAAAGGATGTTTTTGCTTTGTACGAGGGCCATTCAATCAATTCTGTCACCACACAGGTCCTGTACAAACATGTTATACAATGATTAAGTGCCTTGGCAGACCTCAGAGCAGTTAAAGAACAATGCACATTCAAAAGTCCAACATCATCCGACAAGAATTGAACATTGTTGAATATAATGCACTCATGACTAGTGGCTACTTTACAATGCTAAAATAAGCGTCGAGACTAAATCTGAAATGAGCTCGTAAATAAAAGCATGGCGTGGTTAACATATAACACCAAGACAGATACATGTAACACCAAGACAGATACATGTAACACCAAGAGAGATACATGTAACACCAAGAGAGATACAGATAACACCAAGACAGATACATGTAACACCAAGACAAATACATGTAACACCAAGAGAGATACATGTAACACCAAGAGAGATACAGATAACACCAAGACAGATACATGTAACACCAAGAGAGATACAGATAACACCAAGACAGATACATGTAACACCAAGAGAGATACAGATAACACCAAGACAGATACATGTAACACCAAGAGAGATACAGATAACACCAAGACAGATACATGTAACACCAAGAGAGATACAGATAACACCAAGACAGATACATGTAACACCAAGAGAGATACAGATAACACCAAGACAGATACATGTAACACCAAGAGAGATACAGATAACACCAAGACAGATACATGTAACACCAAGAGAGATACAGATAACACCAAGACAGATACATGTAACACCAAGAGAGATACAGATAACACCAAGACAGATACATGTAACACCAAGAGAGATACAGATAACACCAAGACAGATACATATAACACCAAGACAGATACATATAACACCAAGACAGATATATATAACACCAAGACAAATACATATAACACCAAGACAAATACATATAACACCAAGACAGATACATATAACACCAAGACAGATACAGATAACACCAAGACAGATACATATAACACCAAGACAGATACATATAACACCAAGACAGATACATATAACACCAAGACAGATACATATAACACCAAGACAGATACATATAACACCAAGACAGATACATATAACACCAAGACAGATACATATAACACCAAGACAGATACATATAACACCAAGACAGATACATATAACACCAAGACAGATACATATAACACCAAGACAGATACATATAACACCAAGACAGATACATATAACACCAAGACAGATACATATAACACCAAGACAGATACATATAACACCAAGACAGATACATATAACACCAAGACAGATACATATAACACCAAGACAGATACATATAACACCAAGACAGATACATATAACACCAAGACAGATACATATAACACCAAGACAGATACATATAACACCAAGACAGATACATATAACACCAAGACAGATACATATAACACCAAGACAGATACATATAACACCAAGACAGATACAGATAACACCAAGACAGATACATATAACACCAAGACAGATACATATAACACCAAGACAGATACATATAACACCAAGACAGATACATATAACACCAAGACAGATACATATAACACCAAGACAGATACATATAACACCAAGACAGATACATATAACACCAAGACAGATACATATAACACCAAGACAGATACATATAACACCAAGACAGATACATATAACACCAAGACAGATACATATAACACCAAGACAGATACATATAACACCAAGACAGATACATATAACACCAAGACAGATACATATAACACCAAGACAGATACATATAACACCAAGACAGATACATATAACACCAAGACAGATACATATAACACCAAGACAGATACATATAACACCAAGACAGATACATATAACACCAAGACAGATACATATAACACCAAGACAGATACATATAACACCAAGACAGATACATATAACACCAAGACAGATACATATAACACCAAGACAGATACATATAACACCAAGACAGATACATATAACACCAAGACAGATACATATAACACCAAGACAGATACATATAACACCAAGACAGATACATATAACACCAAGACAGATACATATAACACCAAGACAGATACATATAACACCAAGACAGATACATATAACACCAAGACAGATACATATAACACCAAGACAGATACATATAACACCAAGACAGATACATATAACACCAAGACAGATACATATAACACCAAGACAGATACATATAACACCAAGACAGATACATATAACACCAAGACAGATACATATAACACCAAGACAGATACATATAACACCAAGACAGATACATATAACACCAAGACAGATACATATAACACCAAGACAGATACATATAACACCAAGACAGATACATATAACACCAAGACAGATACATATAACACCAAGACAGATACATATAACACCAAGACAGATACATATAACACCAAGACAGATACATATAACACCAAGACAGATACATATAACACCAAGACAGATACATATAACACCAAGACAGATACATATAACACCAAGACAGATACATATAACACCAAGACAGATACATATAACACCAAGACAGATACATATAACACCAAGACAGATACATATAACACCAAGACAGATACATATAACACCAAGACAGATACATATAACACCAAGACAGATACATATAACACCAAGACAGATACATATAACACCAAGACAGATACATATAACACCAAGACAGATACATATAACACCAAGACAGATACATATAACACCAAGACAGATACATATAACACCAAGACAGATACATATAACACCAAGACAGATACATATAACACCAAGACAGATACATATAACACCAAGACAGATACATATAACACCAAGACAGATACATATAACACCAAGACAGATACATATAACACCAAGACAGATACATATAACACCAAGACAGATACATATAACACCAAGACAGATACATATAACACCAAGACAGATACATATAACACCAAGACAGATACAGATAACACCAAGACAAATACATATAACACCAAGACAGATACATATAACACCAAGACAGATACATATAACACCAAGACAGATACATATAACACCAAGACAGATACATATAACACCAAGACAGATACATATAACACCAAGACAGATACATATAACACCAAGACAGATACATATAACACCAAGACAGATACATATAACACCAAGACAGATACATATAACACCAAGACAGATACATATAACACCAAGACAGATACATATAACACCAAGACAGATACATATAACACCAAGACAGATACATATAACACCAAGACAGATACATATAACACCAAGACAGATACATATAACACCAAGACAGATACATATAACACCAAGACAGATACATATAACACCAAGACAGATACATATAACACCAAGACAGATACATATAACACCAAGACAGATACATATAACACCAAGACAGATACAT